GCAGTATGGTTCACATACATTCATACATTCACACAATTTCTCTTTCACTCATTTGGGTGGCCACCCCAATCATTTTTCATTCATGCATTCATGTAATCTTTGTTTTCATATTCTAGCTATACCACTTAAACTTTCATGTAGTGTTTGGTCAGAATGAAAGTTGTTTGGTTCAGGATTTACTTACTTATTTACATGCATATTCTCACTGTCCTACTCCCCTTCTTTTGTTGTGAATATTGAAAGTTAATGAATTTAAAGGTATAATACTGGTAAGTAGTGTGGACATACTTGAGTGTGTACTTAGGGAAATTAATAGGTAGGTTACTATTATAATATGTTAATTAATAACAATAGAAATTCTTAAAGATGCTAATTACTACTTAAATGAAATAGTTATAAACTTAAACTTATTTAGATACATTTAAGAACTTAACAATTTTAAACAATACTTAGTAAATGTGACTATTAGTAATTTAAACAAAGGTACAGGGAAATTAGAAACTTAAAAATGTATTAATAAGGGAATGTTGAATTTTTGTCTCTTATTAGTGTAAATAGAAAACTAAAGATAGTTAACTAAACTATTTTAGACAAAAACATTTGTAATAATTTCTAAAGGCTTATATGTAAAACATGTAAAAACAGTCAGTATCATAGTGTCTGTATAGTTTTGGCCCCGGCCCGGGTCTTTCACCGGGCCGCCGCCGCCTCTCTCACGGGAGTGGGGAGGCGGTGTTGTCACTGTTGACACTCCCGGAGGAACCGGAGTGGCTGTGGTCATGGCCCGGCACGCTTACGGTGGGGGCCATGTCGCTGGTCATCGCCGCCGGGCCTCGGCTCGGCTCGGTCTGGCGCCGCGTTGTGCTGCCTGTGCGGCTGTCCCGGGCCGCGCTGCTGCGGCCGTGTGGTCCGCTTCAGGGGAGCGGCGGCACGGGCGGGCTGGTTCGTGTAGTGGGAGGCGGCCGTCAGCTCTAGGCATGGCCCGGCCGTCACCACGGGCTGCCCGCGCTCCAGGTGCAGGCGGGCGGCGAAGGCCTCGCAGTTCCGCGCCGCCGACACGTGCTCGCCGAAGCTGCCACGCCGCCCCAGCTGCATTTACAAACTTGTGCCACAGTCTCGGCGCAAGTTTGCTCGGCCGCCCGGGATGGCCGCGGGGCCGTCCCGCGGCTTCTCCTCAGGCACGGCGGCTGCCCCCCCGGCCCGGGGTTCCACGCGGAACTCCGCCGGCAGCTCCACACGGGTCGGGGGGGCAGCGGGAGTCGCCACCAGCTGCGGCGGGGTTTCCGCGCTCGGGTCACTGCCTCCCGTTCGGCTGCGCCTCGGCCGGACCTTGGCCCGCTTGCGCCCTCCGGGCAGAGGCGCCCTGCGGCGGCGCCGCTCCAGCCGCCCGGTTCCCTCCACGCTGTGTACCGGGCCCGCCGCTCCCGGTGGTGCCGCCGCTGCCATCTGGGTTTGTGCAGGAACCGCCGCAGCCTGGTCGACACCAGCCGGCACCGCGAGATGAAGTCGCCGCCGCTGCCGAGCCTCGCCCCGAGCCGCCCGGCCGGGGGCCGGAGTCGCCGCCCGCCGCCAGCAGTCCTGCGGAGCCGTGCGCAGCTCTATCCCCGGCCTGACTCGCTGCGGCTGCTGAGCGCCTCGACAGCCCCGCGCTCTGTGCCCGCCGCCGGCCTCGCCGCTCGCAACGTCGAGCGGCTATCACGGATCTTTTTTAAACATCGCGCCGCTGTTGCTGGTAGGCACAGCAGTTGTTGCTTAGCTACTGGCTCCCAGCACGGACCATGTTCCATGCATGCCTCCAGCAGAGGCAGTCCACAACATGGCCCCGAGACAGGAAGAGAAGGCATCACCTCCTGCTCCTGGCATGGGCAAGATGGCGCCGCCCACGCTCCGGCGTGGTCTCCACGTGTCTGCAAGTTTGCCATGGCTTGGGATTCAAAGTTTGTTCCCTTTTACCAGTCACATAATCCGCGACACGCGCTTCTTCTCGGAATTCAGGCATCCGCGAAAATTCAGCACAAAAAGGTATATTCTAAGGCTTTTCTTCCGTGCTCTTGGACCCCCTCCCCCTTTCCACACTGCATTAGGACGTGCAGTTCCATGCTTTACAATGTTTGGGGGAGGGGAAGATTCAAAGTTTCTCTCTGTGGACGAAGTTCTCTTGCGAGGGTTTTAAAGTGTCCACCTTTTTTACTTTTGTTTTCTCTCTGCTTCTCCACCCCTCTTTCCAAGCAATTTCACTAAGAATTGTAAGTAACAGTAGTCCTAAAACAGTTATTTTCATCAATTTTAAAAGTCCAGCTATTTTATGTTTGTTAACTTGTCTCCAAAGTCTTTTCAATATTAAGCTTAAGGCTTTTGCAATATTCTGCGGTTCACGTGAATTAAAAGTTTTCATTTTTCCTCTTTTTCTTTTTTCTCCCGCTCTCTCACCTGGGACGTAGATTTTTCTTCTCGAGAGCGTCCTCTCAAAACGTAGGCAATTTCCTACCGAATTCAGGCCTTTTTTCGAGCTCAATTGCGGTTTCTCCTGCCTCCGCCCATCAGAGTTTCCTTTCCTCTGGTACCTGGCGTTTCTTTCTTTTTCACGGCGGACGTCCCTCAGCGTTAAATATAGGCTGGTACCTGACGTCTGGTCCGTATTTCTTCCTGATTCAGGATAAGGCTTAGGTCCCTGTTCCGGGCGCCATATGTAGCAGTTATTAATATAATAAATAATAAGTCCCATGGGGACCATAGCGACACCAACATGGTGTGTAACAAGAGAGAGAGAGATCTTTATTCAAGGAGTCCCGGCTTATATAGCAGCTTCAAATGCTGCCACGTCACACAGGTAACTTCTTAAGCCAATCCCATACAAGCATTCAACAGAGCATGTGTGACAGAGTACTTAGAACTACAACTCCCAGGATGCTTTGCAGCACCTGGTGTAACCAGACCCCACAGTAAAAGATCTCTATTTAAACACCATGGCAAAGGGAATAAATTTTAAATCAATCATTTTCTTACTACTTGTAGGATCATCTTGTTGTAAAAGACAAAAGAAGTGATCTCTAGGCTTATGTTTGCTGTTCAGAGATTACTTTGAATTTGACTATTCTGCTCAATTTACTCTGTTGAAGCTGCTGAAATTGTCATGTCCAAATGTCAATTAATTCTGACTTTGGAGTTGCAGCTCTGTCCAGGAACTCCATGGTTTCTGCACTGTCAGTTCCTGTGCAAGGCACATCAGACAAAGCACAGTTAGAAATCTTTAAATTATAGAATTGTTGTTTATTCCAACAATAAAGGAGGGAGAGAGAGGGAGAGAAGCAGACTGGATGAGCAGTTTCAATGATAGGAGACTCAGTCTGGGCAGGATTTCCATCAAGGCACATTTGGAGGCGGCGTGTAATGGAGACGACATTGATTTTCCTCCATTTACTGTAAGTTAACTGAGAATAAAACTGCAACAGAAAACCTAGAAATGCTAATCACAGAAGCTATATTTAGGCAGACCCACTGAAATGATACCACTGAATAAAATAAACATTCTGGAGATAAGCAGTCCTGAGAGACTTTCAGCTCCATCCACATAACATGAGCAAGGGGAATGCATTATTCCCAAACCATCTTCACAACCTTTACTGTAGGAACCTACAGAAAAGTAGGCTACGGGGCAACAACCTGAGTAAAATGGGAGGCATCTCCCTTAAATGCAAAGGTTTTGTCCTTCCCTGCTAAAACCAAATGTCTGCTAGCTGACCAGAGTACAGCTCCTCTAATTGCCCTTCCACTTCTAATGGGATAATTTATAGCATATTGTCAATAGAAAGAACACCAATTTGTTTGCTGTGAAGGCTGGAAGAGATGAGTTTTGACAGAAGTCTGGGTGATTTTTTGGGATCAGGGAGCAGCTGCTTCTCTAAGGTCTCTGGTGTCGTCTCCTGCATGAAATTAAGCTGTGCATGAGGTCCAGCCACCTGGTCATGGAGGTGCCATCACAGTGTGTGCAAGGATCTGTTTTTAATGTGGAGCACCCAAAGCTTTGTCCAATTGCCTTTGCTGAATTCCCTGTTGCTCCTTTCCCACTGGCAAGGGACACCTTTCGCCAAAAGGGTGGCTCCCAAAGTCCCAGGGAAAGAGAGCAGTGCCTAGAGGGCTCTGAGGGGTTTTAGGTCCTGCTAGGGTCTTTCCCAGGCAGTCATGGAATAATCACTTAACTCCCTGTAAGTGGGAGTGATGATGCTTTCCCTCCTCACAGACTACCCATGAAACACACCTTGTAAATATTTAGTATTTAAACCAACTAGTGCTTGCCAGAGCGGCAAAGGTGAATATCAGATGTGCAAACATTGCATGCAGGAGTGCAGCTGAGAACACTGTTTATTTTTATGAGCTAACGCTGTCCCAAATTTCATCTTCTTTCTCCTTGCACAGTGTCCCCACTGAAGTCAGCCTCCACGGGCTCTTCAGCTGCATCAGCTCTGACTGCCCCGAGTCTGTAGTGGCTGTGAAGGGAAGGCGCAGCAGCAAATCCTACTGCCAATAGAGCAGCCTGTTCTCTGTACCCAGGGTGCCCACTTATGTGGCCCCAGATCCCTGGGGAGGGTATAGGGTGTGTGATGCATTAAAGGTATGGAAATTTAGCAGGAAAGAAACCCCCTTGGGTTCCAGCTGGTCCTCAGACATGAGTAGGACTGGGTGCAAATAGACTTAATTTCCCATTCAAACCAATTCAGCGCTATAGGTCTGGTGGAGCACAGTAAGAACATGCACAGTCCAGATTTTGAAACTGTAAGCTTTATTGAAACAATATGTTTTATGGAAACAACAGGACATCAGGTTCAGGATTACTGGGGAAAAATACCCTAACTACCTATTAGTGACTTATCTATTTCCTGGAGATAAATATACTAACTGCGTAATAGCTACTTATATATTTTCTGGGAACAAGTGCCCTAACTAGGTATTAATTACCTACCTATTTTCTAGGGAAAAATACACTAACTACAATGAACTACTTAGATATTAACTAGTGCTAATGAGTACTCTTCATTCATCACACGTGAGCCCCAGGAGCAGAGCTGGCTGTCAACAAACGCGAGCAGGAGTTGTTTGAGCCGATGTTGGAGGCAAAGGTACTCTTGCATGGCCTCTGTGTGGGCTTCTGGATCCTGTGTCAGGTGCCAGAAAAGGTTGGTTGGCTTAACCTTTCGCAAGTCTGGAGGCAGGTTGATCTCCCCTGGGATTCTCTGGTTGCCTATGACAAAGCTGTCCAGTTGTTTCTTCTGCAGGGAGCAGCACAGGTAATCCAAGCTATCCACCAGCCGCTGCAGGAAATCCCTCCTGCACCACTGTGACATGGGTATGGTGTTCAGGAGGTGCATCATCACTGTCTTCAGGATATAAGTGGAAAAGGCTCTGCCCTCCAGAGCACGGGCCAAGAGCTGCAGGCATTTGAGGTGGCAGCTGTCCCGTGGAACCTTCTGGGAAATGTACCTGAAGAACTTCATCTCTGCCACGGCGTAGGTCTCCATCCACACTGTGCTTGGGGTGAAGAGGACCTCTGTAGGCTGGCTGCTCACATAGATATCTGAGTCTCCTTGCTGCACCCCAAACAGCACCTCAACCCGTAAGCTTTCTGCGCCTTTGGTCAGCCTGAATTTACAGGAGCGGCTGGAAGGAATCAACTTTAAGCGCCAGTGGTAGGACTGAGACAAAAGCAACCAATTTGCTTTCATCAAAAGGTAGAACCATTGGGTAGTTTTCTCCACATCTAGATAGGAACCAGTGCAGAGGTTGTATAGAAGGCTGAACTCCTCATTCCTCCTCCGCTTTTCCTCAGGGTTGTGGAGAAGGCACGGCACTTTCTTCCCCTGCTTCTGCCTTCTGCAGCTGCAGACCTGCTCCACACGGATGCAGAAGTACTTTCCTGGCATCTTTGCTGCAGTGTCCACCTCCAGGTGGAAGGTATGCCCTGTGGGAGGATTTAGGGGTACAAGGACACGGTACACTAAATCCTCCTTGCAGGGACTCCACCCTTCAAAGGCACTGCCCACCCCGATGGCTCGTTGCGGCACTGGGTAGGAATGATTTGCGAAGCGGTTTCCAAAGGCACGTGTGATGCCATCTATCAGGTCAGTTATCGTGCAACCTCTGTCCAGAACAGGCCAGCGTATGCACTCCTCTATAATCCTGCAAAGCATACTTGCAATATCTTGCTCTTCATCTCCATTTGCACTGTATTTTCTTTCTTCTCTTCCGGCAGCATAGTCTTCTTCCACATTCGCATTACCAATAGCTTTGTCTTCATTTTCATCCTCAGTCTCACCTTTTCCTTCATTTCCAAATTCCTTTTCTTTATTTGTGTCACCACGGCTACCATCTTCTGCATTTCCATCCTTGCTGTCTTCCTCTACATCATCACTTTTTGCTTCTTTCTTTGCCACAACATTGTCTTTTTCTTCATCTTCCTCCACTTCCAAGTTGCTGCTGGCATTCTCCCCAGGTGCACTGCTGTGAAGCTCACAGCTCCTTTTCTGGCGGATAAACCACAGTGCCAAAAGAAGGCCCAGGACTCCAACAAGAGCCCAGAAGTGCCCCTGCTGCAAGACAGCCCAGAGCAGGGCTCCCCAGGCCCTGAGAGTGCGCTCCAGGCTGCTCTGCTCCAGCTCCTGCAGCAGCCGAGTCATCTCCCTGTTCAGGAACTTGGCGCGCAGCTCCATGCGTAGATGGGTGGCCTCATCCAGCTCATCACCCACGAGCTGTGGGTACTGGATGAGGGTTTGCACAAGAAAGAAAATGACTATTAAGGTCTCCATGACCTGCAGGAGTAGGGAGACAAGGGGTTAAGTGGGTCTGAAAGGGAAGGAAGGAGCTAGAGGTGGGGGGGAGGCGTGGATGGGAGCTGCAGGAATATTGGGGCAGGAAGGAGAGGGCCCAGTCAGTAGCAAGGCCTGTCCCACTGCCCCTGCAGCAACACCATTCCATGCACAAGATTGCTCCTGGATTCAGAGTGAGAACCACTCTCTCGGGTGCAGCGTTTCTGCTCTGGCCCTTGTCCAGAGCAGCTTCCCGCCTGTGCGCACTCGTCGCTCGCCCAGGCTCTATTGGGGCAGCGCTACCTGCTGGGGTCACTTACAGCTGCCCTCATTGTGACACGACCCCTGTGATGTCACAGGTACCAGAGCACATCACAGCCAGGCCAACCCCGCCCTTTGTCCCCACCCCAGCTCAGTGACTCATAATGGCCCCCCGGAAAACTGAAGTCCAGACACCCCCAAAAGGCAGACCCACCCTCTGGAATGGGTCCCCAGGGGCTCCCTTTACAAAGCAGGCAGAAGCCCCCCAAACCTTTGTCAAACCTAAAATTGGGTGGCGTGACCCATGGGCGCTTTGCTCCCTGAGATCCCCTCCTATGAGTTGGGATCGGTTCCTTTGCTGCTCCTTTGGTCCTCTGTTCTTGTAGAGGGTCTCTTGGGGCCTTTGATACAAGACCACAAGTTTGGTACAAGGAGGCCCCTCTCTGATGCCTGACTCAGGGCAATGCAACTCCTTCCCTTGACTTTCTTCCTTCTTGACCTTTCTATAAACGTAAAGCAAAGTCTGGCTCTGGTGTCTGTGCCGTGTCTCCGGGCATGGTGAACTGTACCCACAGAGCTCAGGCTGCCAGGTTACTTTACTCTCGGTTGATTCTGGACCTGAAATGATCAAACAAGTGCTCTGGTGATTACTTTTTTACAGTGTAGTGTGAGTTTGGCCCTTCTTGTCATTCCCTTCAGAAAGACTGTCTCTGTGGGAAGGGGCCATTCATGTGTCAGTGGTGTTAAAAGCTGTAGTTAAATCCACTTCTGCCCCCACTGTGCAGCTGACCAGCTTGTTCACAGGCCTGCCCTGACCACGTTTCCTGCTCCATACAGTACTCAGCACTGAAAACAGTGATTTCTGAAACATGGATGCATTGCAGATACGATGGGACAGTTTCTAGATGGAAAATGGCTTGATTGCTTATGTCAGAATCCCCCTTGTGCACTACAAAGCCATTTCTTCCTCATCACAACCAAAAATTATTTTAATAAATTAAAACTTTTGTCAATAGAGAAAACTGAATTTCTTTGCCAAAGGGACACCTCTGCTCTGAACCATTGCACATACTCCTCTGTTGTAGCCTGGCTTCTCTCCCATTCCTATTCCTATCAATTAGACCATAAAATCACAGAATCCCGAGAATATGCTGAGCTGGAAGGGACCTACAAGAACCACCAAGTCCATGTCCTGGCCCTGCACAGGACCATCCCTAATAATCCCACCATATGTCTGAGAGCGTCATCCAGACACTTGAACTCTGTCAGCCTTGGTGCTGTGAATACTGACCTGGGGAGCCTGTTCCAGCACCCAACCACCCTCTGGGTGAAGAACCTTTTTCTAATATCCAACCCAAACCTCCCCTGAGACAAATTCAGGCCACTGTTTCACACAGGCAGGGCTGACCCTTTGACATGACTTCATTCCAATGCAGGTCTCGGCAGCAAAAAAAGAGTTAGAGGTTACAGCTAAAATGGAAGTGCAGCTTTTCTTTGGACACCTGAAGCCAGGGATCACTTCTCTCCACATATTTGATCACTGGGTGGCATAATAATGACTCCCTACTCTGTGAAAGCAAAACTCCTTTTGCATTCTGTTTTAAGAGGTAAATCTTTAGGATCTATCAAACCTCTGTATAGCTAAGGTAAAACAACAGTATAAACCACTCACTGCCTTTGAACAACCATCAAGGATTTGGCTCCCAACTATAAAAATTCCATAAAACTATTCTTAAGACAACTTAGTGCACTCTGCCTATGCACTTCAATGAGATTATTATTTGAATTATTCATATATGCAGTAGCTATAGGCACTTCTGAGAGAGATGAGGTGACTGAAGCTCATGTCCGCTTCCCAGATGACCTGATCTACATATGGCAAGCAAAGGAGGAAGATATGACCATAATGGAAGGATCCTGCACCAACAGAGTCCTTGGTCTGTGCAGCCTCAGTCGAAAGAATCTGTTGACTCTTGATCCAAGTACTTCCAAGGGGTCCTATTTATGTGATCAGCAAGATTTTGCAGTTACAGATAGAGGTTCAAGGAATTCACTCAAAGTACATTAAAGACTACTAGGAATGTGTAAAAACTCCTGTACAGGAAGTCAGTAACATAGGTCTTTTCATCTTAGAATAACTGTGGTTGCACTGAGGCAACTACAGTCTGACTCTGAGCTGTTATGTTACTTACATTATTCTTAAAAGAGGAGAAACAGACTGATTAGCTGGAAATCAGAAAAAAACCTCATAAACTCAACCATTAGCTTGAGAGTTGGGTGAGAAAGACATTTCTAATATCCAAAACATTTGAGAAATGTTTGTGGTATCAACTGGAATAGGCAATAATCATAATAATTGGGGAACTCCTCAGGAAGGTCTTCTGCAAACCGCTTTTCTGTGTGGGTAATTGAAATCCAGTTTACCACATTAGGTATCATACCTAGTCTACTGGATCACTTAAGGCTTCTTTTTTGATGCAGTTCCATTTAAGAGCCCACTGGTCAAAGCTCTTACCTAAGACTTGAGGCATTAAATTCAAATAAGTACCAACCTGGCAGAACTGAAACTGGAAATGGATGCTCTGCAACACATTAAGTGTTCTAGAAACTTGGTTGTTGATAATGCTGAAAAATAATGAACAATGGCATCACAAATGTAATAGTTATTAATTAATAACTATTTTCTATTTCCACGCAAAATGCAGGGATAGATTTGGAAGATTTTTTTTTTATTACAGATAATGATAAACCAAGAAAAATTAATAGTTATCTAGTATCTGCTTAGAAATGTAGTAATTATTTCCATTTCCAACCAACCAATCTTGATTTAGATTTAAGTTAAAAGCCCTTTGTACTAAAGGCAGTGAAAAATAAGAATAAATATATGCACAAACCTCACTGATATGTATTTTCTGTCCTTTTTGACATGACTTCATCAGTGGAAAGGATTTTCAACTAAACAGAGATGAGCCCTATGGAGTTTTGACACAGACTTTGGAGTGATCAGTGTTTTGTATGTTGGATAGGACTCTGATCCATGCAAGTTGGTAGGAGAATGTTATTAGAACAAGGGAAGGATGACACCATGTACGTAAATCCTTGGTAGTAACGAGAATGATCATGCCAAAAGTGCCAGACTGGTATCACATTCCTATTTTTCCAGAGTTCCCAGTGAAGTTGACCTCTTGCAAATTCTGTAGAGTATGTAAGCCCTGTGAATGTTTTAAACAATACAGTTTTAATCTAATATAACACTGCAAATGCTGAAGAGCCTGTAGGCTAAGAGGCAGATCATTCAAATGTAAAAGCAAATTTGACTGGAGTCTAAACAATGTTGGCCTCTGCTGCAAACTATAGCTTTCTTTTGACATGGAAAGAGAGAATGCATTTTGCCAAAAGGGAATTAGCTTGGAAAGCCTCTGTAAATGATACTGTGATGAAAATAAACAGTCCCCTAGCCTTTGTTTCACAGTTGTGCATGAGAAACCTAACAGATCATGCCTCATGTCATGAGTGCTCATTAGCTTTTGGCTGCAGCCCATGTCTTGGCCTCGGGGATCTCATGAGAACTAAATCACTGATGTCAATCATTTCTCTCCATGATGACACCAAAGGTCTTTGCAGTGAGATGCCCCTGGTGTTTGTAGCATCCTGGCTAGTAAATAATCATTTCTGGAAAAGCTCACTTGCCTTTACACTTGTACTTTGTCGGCCGTCATTTCTCAGCCTTCGCTTTCCTTACCTGTCACCATGCTTCAATTTCCCTCTCCTCTTTTTTTTATGGGTTTGAAGGTTCACAATGATTTGGTCTCATTCATCCTTATCAGCATCTCCCTCTGCTCTAACTGCTTTTGTCCTGGTATCAGTACCTCCCTTTTTTTCATGTAACTCTCCCAAGGGAAAATGGACTGAGCTGCAGCAATTCCATCTCCCTGTTGGGATGTAAAGAGTCAGGGATCTGAGAAAGCTACATGTTTTTTGCTAGAAATGGGCATTTAAACATTTCTCCTTCTTCCTTTATGTGACAAACTGCTGATTGCAGAGCTCTCACTGGTTCTGGACCACCCTCCAATTCAAAGGTTAGCATGGGGGGGAAATTAATTTTTCATAGGAGCTAATTTGATATATAACAGCATAAGAAGAAGATGAGGATAAAACTTCCTCCTGGAAAGGAGTTAATGTCTCCAAGTTATACAAAAATAAGAAAAATTCCAAACACTAAAAAAACCACCAAAACCCCGAAACCACAACCATAACAAAAAAACTCCCATAAAAAATTACATGGTAATCCTTTTACATACTACTGAAGTTGAGACAAAAATCTGCAGGTATAAGAAAACTAAAAGAAATAATATTGACACCAAGAATCTCAGAGGTCTTTTAGTGAAAAACTTGACAGATAAGTAGTTCCAAATAATATTTCAACTTTAATTTTTATAAATTGAAGTTAATTTTTTTCCTTTTTGTTGTTCAATAATTCTAAGAGTTCCCCACTTATTAGAACACATTTATATATCATACTATTAAAATACCATACATCAGACCAGCTGGAAGAGAAGAAATAATAAGAAGGACAATAGACTCTTTATTCCTTATCAGTTTTTCAATCAGAGTAGACTAAAATTTGTTAGGGTTTCCAAATTTTCAATCCTGGAAATTTTATTGCAATAAAGATAAAGCTATTGCAAATTTACACATTTTTGAAGACCATCTATTTTCTCAGAGGAGGTATCATTTTC